AGAGTAATTCAAAACATGTAACAAAAAAATCTTTACATAATTAAAATATAATTTTATGCATTGTCACCTTGTTTTCTTTATTGAAGCCAACTCCGTTTCCTGAAGAACGAACCCTTAAAACAGTGAGGTCAGATTTTAATTAAAAAACAACTTATGTCGCACATTTTTTAAACTCCAAACAAGTTCACGCTATATTTAAATAAGTTTTTGAGCTCATCCACACTCAGGAAAATAAAAAACAAACCTGTTGTTCTTTTCTAAGACATCATAATAAGCATGTAGGTTATTTAAAGACTTGCTTCACCATCGGTCACGTCTTTTATGTAAAATCTGCTGAGATCATTTATGTCTGAACTGATGTCTGAGCCCACACGTACTGCAGTCTTATAATAAAAAGGATCTGCTCTGAGATTAAAGCAACAACTTATGACTAATGTAAACTGCATGTGTGCTTGGGAAAATTAAGGGAACTTTTTGTTTTACACAACATGATACAGCAGCTATTAAAGATACAGTAAAATCAGAATTTATACAGAAAATTAAAGGTTAATTCACTCAGTAAAAGAAACTGGTGTACTTACTCTGGAGTGCTGAACTGTCCTGTAAAAAACAAACATTCGGTGAGTTGTTAACTTGTAAGTTAAATAAAGCAACAATTATTTTTTCTGTTTCACTTTTACAGTATGTTAGTGATTTTAGAAGGATAAAATTACTCATTTGATTATAAACTAATTCTACCACTAAGGAAAAGTGGAGAAAGGAAATTACAAATTCTATTATTAATACATTAAAAATCTGAAGTGTTTCTGCCTTTTTATTTATTTATTCATAGAAGCCACCTTTGCAGGAGTTAAATCGACGTTTGTTTTTCTAAGAGATGAACTGTGACCTGCTTCCAGATAACCTCCTGAGCTCAGGAGAAAACTTTCTGAAGGCTTCTCTCTGTTTTTAAACTCTCTGTGCTGCTGAGAAGCATGACGTTTCAATCAGAACAGCTCATGAACAGTTAATGCTGTGTGCTGGAAAGAGTGTTTGGGATTTTGTCTGAAGTGCTTAACTTGTTTCAAACAAGAATCTTTCTTGTTTCGGCAAATTTCAAGAAGCACAGTGACGCTTTGACTTCAGAGGACATTTGAAGCCTGTCACGCCAACAGAAATGTCCATGTTTTTTGTATTTTTAGTTTATTTATTAGTTTTTTGTAATGGAGTTGAAAGATATGTCACTGATTAACTGAATAATGGATATACTCTTATATTTTATACTTCGTGATTAATTATAATCATTTACTTTAAACAGAGAATCTACAAGTCTCTAGCTTAATGCGTGACTCACTTCAACATTATAAACACATTTTGTATTTCAAGAAGTGTTTACTTTCTTTTTTATCGTGTCATCATATCCGGGGTGGGGCTTGAGTGAAATATAACTAAGACTTCTTTTAAATTTCTGTTTTGGTCAGATGTAGAAATCAATACCCCTTTATACTTCTAATAAATGCCCTAATTTGGGATGAATAAACTTAATTTGAATTAGCTTAATTTGGCTTTTCTTATTTCCTCACTAAACGCAGGCGTTTGATTGAAACTGCATCAAACCTGCTCTCAGAAACAGACTGCAGATAAATGTTTGCCATCACCTCGGCTCTGCATGGTTCTTCTGGAGTAGCGTCGACTTGGTCTCCTCTCAAAGGATGTTGACCGCCTCGCTTTACTGGCCTTCGTTGTTTGATACTCCGTCTTTCCACTGCTCATAAAAATAAATAAAAGTTAATTTAAATTTCACAGATTCTAATAAAAAACAATGAAAACCAAACAAATACTCTGATTTATGGGTAAAATTCCTCTCCACGACAACACCCAGCGCAGTAATGACCCCTGCTGAACTCTGGACCCATCCAAGCGATAGCCTTCTAAAAACAACAAAACCCTGCAACCCCTGTGTTAAATCAACGTCAACACTAATGCCTATTCAGCTGGATAATGTTTAAACACACAGCAGGGAAGCAGTTGGCTCCTGGATTATGTTGACATGGAGCGCTGGTGTAGAACTACGAGTACCGACGTTCACTGAACTCTTCTTTAAACTCTTCAGCCAATTTTTCTTTTTCCACCTACAATTTATTGGTCTTTAATATACAACACATCGAAGTGTTCACTCTCACGCCTTCTCTGAAACAAGTAACGATTAAGACGAGCCAACTAGTGCAACATCTGGATACATCCACACATTGATTTTTAAAAAAGGGAGGTGAGCCTAAACTTCTCACTGGTACTGAACTTCTTAAGTCTTTACTAAGAGGTTATAATAAAACGAGTTGGTCCGTGTGTCTGTACCTGTATCTGAAGCGTGATCCCATGCGTATGAATCCCGAGCGCGCAGAGTTTTTCTGTACCGGCCCCCTCAACCTAAAAAAAGCGTGGTGTTCCACTGCACACTTCCAGAGGTGTTTACAGGCTTTGGGGTGGTCCATCCTGAACACAAAGGTGTGCTCCTGCTCTTTGCCCTGAGGAGGATTGGTATGAGTTTATTCAGAAAGGAAGGAACAAATATTATAAATACTGCTGAGGGAACTCTGCAAATAAAGCTGAATTTCTGGCTTTTACTCATAAAAAAACTGTGATGAATAATTGGCTGCAGTACTGGTGAAAATGTCTCAATAATCATTTTACTAGTAGCTCAAAGCAAATCCAGCAGGCACCAGAGTCCATTACACAACTTGTGATGGAGCCAATCCAGCGTCAAAGCAGAACATCACTTCTACCTTTTCAGCTGGAGTCACCTTAACTTTGTCTTATTTAAAGGGATCCCTGATTAGTTGTAACATTAGACTTTATATGATAAACATATATTTTAACGGTAAAAATACTGTAGGATGTTTAGTTTTGTAATTTTAAAAAAATATATTTTAACACGGTCGGAGCCATTTTATTTACACAAAAAGTATTCTGGGTAAATGATGACGTGGATAGGTCCTCGGTGTGAGTGAGCTATATCCACCCTGAAGGTTAATCTTGGACAATATCTGATGATCGACTCTTTTAAATGAAACCAGAGAGCGTTGACAGAGAGGAGAAGGTAGAAATGGCTCAGCCTGGAACTGAAAATATGGATGGAGGACAACAGAGCTGCTTCATGGAAGAAGAACCTCAGCTTAGCCTGTTAGCTTTAGCGTTAGCACCAATGCTATATGTATTAGTTCAGCACTAGCGCGACAAACRAGCTAAACTGAGGTCCTCCATCCATATTTTCAGTTGCAGGCTGAGTCATTTTTGTGTTCCCCTCTCTGTCATGTAGATGGAGGACCTCAGTGACGAGAGGAGAATATGTAGCGCTGAGCTAATACATATATATGGTGATAGTGTTGGGGCTAACGCTAAAGCTAACAGGCTAAGCTGGGGTTCTTCTTCCATGAAGCAGCTCTGTTGTCCTCCATCCATATTTTCAGTTACAGGCTGAGTCATTTCTGCCTTCTCCTCTCCGTCAACGCTCTCTGRTTTCATTTAAAAGAGTCGATCATCAGATATTGTCCAAGATTAACCTTCAGGGTGGATATAGCTCGCTAGCAGCCTCGCACCAAGGACCTATCCACGTCATCATTTACCCAGAATGCTTTGCATGTAAATAAAATATTCGTGTAATATATTTTTAAGCTTTTAGTTTAAAAATTATAAAAACTGAACATCCTAAAGTATACAGTCTTTATTTTACAGTTAAAATATATGTTTATTAAATAAAGTCTAATGTTACAACTAATCGGGGATCCCTTTAAACAAACACTAAGGTACATGAATTGAAACAACTGCAAATAAAGTAAGTACCGTACTCAGGCACCTATTCATGAAAACAACAAACCAAATCAGGATCATTGGAAAGCAAACAGTGCTGAAAGCAACTAAATGTCTGGTGGCCTCATTTATTTCAAGTTTATATCAATAAAACAGCTGTTTCTGTGTCCAAACATCCAACATTGTTATACCTTGGCCAATGCAACAACAACATTTGGCTTTTTCTACACATCGATACAAGTACAAACCCTCAAAAACAAGATATACTTTAACTCTGGTGTTTGGAGTCTGTGTGTTTCTGTGTGTGTGTGTGTGTGTGTGTGGGAGAATGGTGCATACCATGAATACCAGAGGGAACAGGCTTCTTTATTAACCTCAAAGACCGAAGAAAGAACACAAACAGCTCAGTCTCTTACAGTATACCAGTTCCAAACCTGGTTTCTTTTTGATAACATTCTAACATCTTGTAGGGCTCAAGAGCTGCTTTATTTTACACGTTGGTTTTAAATAAATTGCTCTTCTTTTGGAAAACAAACAAACAAACAAACAAACAAAGAAAAAAAGGATTATGTTACTGAACCAGAAGGTTGAGATTGAGTTGATTCAGTAACATGGATTTTGTTTTTTTTAAGCCAGCAAATATGTTGCACAAGTAGGCAAGATTATGGGAAGGATTACATTAGTCATATCAGTCTCATCAGAAAAAGCTGCTAAACTCTGTGTACGGTGYTTTTAAGATCTAGATAAAAGCAGGAACATGGTGTAGTAAGAACAGTTATGTTGTATATTTTACTGTACTGATTTATCGTTATCAAGAGTGACTACGATGAGACCGACTGGTGTGCATTTTCAACTTTCTTTTACTCACCTGCTCATCATCTTCCTCCACCACGAGGGTCAACTTGCTCTTCTTGAAATCCAGACGGGTAATCTTGGGCCTAAAACAATAAAACAAAAAAGATGATTCAAAGACACAAAAACGAAGGGTTTGATTTAAAACAAACAAACAAAAAGATACCAGAAGAAAAGTCCGATCTTTGTTTGTCCTTCAAATACCAGAACTCCAGTGGGTGTCAAACCCAGACTGTACTCATTGCCATCTCTAGCCTGCAACAGAAAAAAATAAATAAAAAACAGGCATGACATGAGTTTGTTTTGCTTTTTACACATGCAGGAGTTGTTAACGCTGCATGTGTGTCAGCACAAGCGGTAGGTGTGTCAAAAAAAGCACCCTGACTGGAAAAGCACCATTAGGAAACCACTTGGCAAGTCACTACCAGACATCTTCAAATACTCAAAAATCACTGCCCATTAGGGGTGTAAGAAAATACTGATACACTGATATATCAAAATATTTCATTTACAGATACTGTATCGATATTCTAAAGCCCTGTATCAAGTTTTTTATTGAGGTTTAAAACGTCAACTTTCCTGCCAGTCGTTCATTTTTATGTCGTGGTTCAACCTCTGACCACTAGTTGGCAGCAGTGAGCCAGCCATTTGGCTCCTCCATCGCTTGAGCGCCAGAGAGTAAAGGTAGCATTAGCATTGTGAGTAAACAGAGACAATGAATTTTGGTTTTTCTTTTTTTTTGGTAAGAGGTTTTTATTTAATAGAAGTTTTGGACAAAAAAAATCACAATATATCGCCTTGCTTACATTTTCACAATATATCGGGATATATCGTATCGTGACCCCTCTGTCATGATATGTATCGTATCGCCAAATTCTTGCCAATACACAGCCATACTGCTCATCTCTTACTGATTTAACTTTTTGTATTGGAAACAGCTCCACTAGTTAAAGCCATTTGTGAGACACTCCATTTAAAAATGAATTGCAGATACTGTACCTAACAGAATAGGGCTGCACAATATCAAGAAAACCTGCRATGTGCGATAACGGAGCTTAACATTGCAACGATGATATGACTTGCAATAAATGAACAAACACATAAGTATACTGTTGATTTTTCTGCTCTGGTTTCAGAGCAAAAAAACAATAACTACTAACACATCATTTCCATTCCAACATGACAGTGTTAATTAAAAAAATGCAACTAGACACAGCTGCTGTGAAAAATCAAACTGCATGAAATCACTAAAATATTTTCTGATGCTCCAAATATTGAAAAACGCCCCTTTTAGTTAAAAAAACACATCTGAAAATAAGTTAAAGTAATTTAAATAAAAGTTAACAAATCTAAATCCAACCACAAATTTTCTCAATTCATTCGTCCAACATTTTCCACATTTTATTTATTTGACTGATGCTAAAAAAAAAACAAAATGTATGAATGCAAACATTTGAGCCAGCTATTTATTGCAGTTTTTTGCRATATGCCTATTGCATAGGTTGTTATTGCGATGATGAAACATTTGTGATATATTGTGCAGCCCTATAAAACCAATAAATAATAAAAAGCTTACAAGCTGCACTGATTTACCTTCACCATGTGCATGTCCACCCCATACATCTCTAACCACTTGGCTTTATTCAGGTAGTTAATCTCAGCTTGTGCTGGAGTCTGGCCTCTGAAACGACAGAAAACAGAAACACAAATGCACCAAAAGTTATATAAATAAAATTATAATAGTAAAAGTGTAGCATTGTGACAAACTGATTAAGTTATGTACGGTTTATAAATGCTTTCTCTGAAAAGTCAGCTAGGTGAGATGCTCACCTGCACTCCTTCCATGTGGTATATATAGCGAGCTCCATCTCCTCCGTCTGCTCAGGGATGAACCGAAACTCTGACACCAGGTCCAGGTTGTGTTCTAGTGGGTCACAATCACCTAATTCAGCTGGAAAGGAAGGAAGACAGTGTTACTCCCATGTTTTCAATAAAAAAATGATAAATTTGGGTTGCTTCTCACAGCTTAAACACTGACGCTTATGTAATTCCTTAGTTGGTAAAATGTCACTAATTTTTTTGCTGCTAAAAAAAKGATCCAAGTTGATTTAGCCCAAAAAATATCTAAAGATTAAATTAAGAATATTGTGACCAACAAGAAAATAAATTGAGCTATAACCTGGATTATGTCCTGCAGTAAGCTGAAGAACTGTTTCAAATTTATGACATAAAAAAAGTCAATTCAATGCATTTAAATCAAAATAAACACATCAGATCTGAGAAAAAAATAATTTAAACCTTGACTGCTGCTTTTAAAGTCAAATATGATGGAGTAAGAAGCTGAATAAATGAACGCGTCACTGTTTAAAAAAACTTCTGGCCTTGACTGAAACTCTGGGGGGAAAGCAGGAGGATGGAGGGGAAAAAAAGACAGGGGTGGGGGGGCAGAGAGGGTGTTGGATTAGGGGGCCTCTGAAGAGGATTGAACACTAATGAGTTGGCACTTACCCCACAGTGACTATCATGTATGTGTGTGTGTTAAGAGTGCACAAAATCCCTTTCCATAAATGTCTCTGGTGACTCAGACGTTTGAAACGTCTCTGAACACATAGGCTGCCTTTAAGCAAAATACTGAAAATGTTTCCAAATTTGTTGTTTTAGTTTTTTTAAATCAATTTGGCCTCCAGGCCTTTGTATCCTGGAGCACATTTTCTCCTTCACAAATGCATTTTTCAACATTTACCAGCTCCCTGGTGCTGGAACAAAACATGAAATAAAAAATCAGCTACATTGATCCTCTAAACAAAACCTCCTAAAACAATCATTCAATGTAAGTTCTACAGTACTTCTGAATTAAATTCCTACTGTAAACAAATAAGAAATAAAAATTTTTCCCATTTGGAAAAAAATGGGAAAATGAATTCCATTTTAAAATCAGATGATCTTACAAACCTCTTACTTTTTCACCTTGAATCAGGATTTTTGTGCCTTTAGTGGCAGTAATGTTAATACATTACTCTTAAAACACAGTTTAAGAAAGAGATGGGTGAAAAAGGCTTTTGTTGAACAGACATAAGGACAAAAAACTACAAACAGTTTTGTCTTGATTATGTCAGTGAAGTCCCTTGTTGAGATGTAAATTAGCAGAGCGAGGCTGAGCGAGTAGTAAGAAAATATTGATACACTGAAATATCTTATGTCATTTCCTGATACTGTATCAATTCTCTAAAGCCCTGTATCCATGTTTAATTAAGATTTAAAATGTAAATTTCCATGCCAACGGTTTATTTTTGAGTTGTAGTTTAGYCTCCGACCACTAGTTGGCAGCAGTCGGCCAAAGAGCCAGAGAGTATAACGATCGCCCAGACGTTAGCATTGTGATTAAACATTAGCACCATGCACCGATGGCTGGATCTGAGCGGATTAGACCGGCACCTGCTGCCTTCTAACAGGGATGTGGMTACTTTTTTTTTTATCCTACACCAAAAGATTTATCCAAAAGAACATTGCAAACCATCTAAAATAACACCAAAATCCTGTGATTATCTCAAGTATGAGGGAAGTTATAGATGTTTTTTTTAGGTGAAATCAGCTCGTTTTCTTGCTGCAGTTCACAGCAGAACCAACGGGGCCTTTGTGACCTTTTCACCTTGTTGTTTTCTATTTTTGCTCATAACTTCCTTCAAGATGTCAACATGAAATTTTAGGAAAAGATTTGCATTCTGGTTTTTGTAGGAAGCATCTTGTATCCTAAAATAAAACTTAATAATAGTCAATGCCAAAGTACCAGAAAAGGTATAAAATACTAGACATGGGTTTTTACGATGTAAAAACAAGTGTGCATTGCCATGTAGCATGTACAGTACTTGCAGCAGTGCACTTGCAGAATGAACRGTGACCAATTTCAAATGTGTTTTCTATACCAGCTTGTGCTTGTCAAGTCAGCAGGTGTTTGTAACGAGGATAATTGTGTGACAATATGAAGTTTGAAGAGAATTTTTGTTAAAGTTGCTGTAGCTGGGTTTTGAACCCTGCTCTCCCACATGAAAGCCCATGGCATTAACCATGAGACCACTGGAGCTGTGGCAGAGTGGATTGCCAGGGGTTGGTTTGTACAGGTGCTGGTCATAAAATTAGAATATCATGAAAAAGTAGATTTATTTCAGTAATTCCATTTAAAAAGTGA